ATATGAGCTCCGATCTGTCGGGAGATGTCCTGATCTGTTGGGAGATGTCCTGATAGAACTGATGTCACTCATCTAATACTCAACTCTCTGCTGTACTTTGTCTAATTGTCGACCCACCTAGCCCACCTAGTCCATTTTAAAGAGTAGAGTTACTCGCCTGGTAGTCTAGTACTTGGTGATTTTAACTGTGTTGAGGCCGGTTACGCCGTGACCTAGTCGTTGTAGAGAATAAAAATTGTGGTAATGTGAAATAAAAAGAATTTTGGTCTTAGTCATTCTAAGACTATAGAATCTCAATCAAGAATCAGGATGTGTTTGTGGACAGAAGAAGACGAATAATCGAAGGTAGTGTTTGATCTTCAACCAAATGGTGAATCTTGGATATACAAAGTTAGGATTAATTACATACTTTGATCTTTAAATTCATTTTGAACCATGTTAATTATATAAAATTAGACTGCTCAAACAAAAAATGAAACCATTATTTCTTCCGGAAAAGGACTTGTTGGAGTTAGATTATTAGAATATTCCAGCATATCATTTCAAGACTCTACTAATAACACTGTGTTATCATCTGATAGTTTTCATCAATCTCTCCTAATTGCTACTTGTCTTTGACCGAGTACAAGTAACAATTTAACTACTTAAACTTACTTTTTTATTTGACTAATCCTCTTTCCACTCCCATGTTCCCCCATTCTGGGGTGCAGCCTGTGATAACATTGATCAATCATGCCATTGGAGCCTCTGGCGTAGTGAGCCAAGAATGCAAGGCTTTGGTTGAAAATTATGGGACAAGTATGGTTGATTTGCTTTTAAGAGAGGTATTATTATGTCTTTAATTGGTTATTTGACAAAGTAACTCTCTAGTAAATTTGGTGATAATAATTGTTCAAGTACTTTCCACTGTAAATCTGTAATAGGAAAACCCAAAGAAGATATGCTCCAAAATTGGGTTATGCACGTTCGATGGAACTCGTGGTGTAAGGTTAGGTTTAAGAACCCAACCTCTATTTTTATGTATAGAAAATCCCACATCTAATATTTAACAACTTCATGTGTATGCACAGTATGGGGATTGAGAGTGTTGTTCCTGAAAAGGAAGGGAGGTCAAATGGGAGAGGTGATGCTGAGTGTGATACTTGTGAAATGGCTGTCTTTTGGATGCGATCTCTACTTCTCCAGAATCGCACAGCAGACCAAATCTTGTCTTCTGTCAATGAGGTAAATTATGCCCTCAATAAGGTTTACATCTGTTGAGTATACAGTTGTTGTTTCTGGCTTATATATATTTAATAAAGATGCAGTTATGTGAGCGGCTCCCAAGCCCAGTGGGAGAATCGTCAGTTGACTGTGGACAGCTTTCTTCAATGCCTACAGTTTCCTTCACCCTTGGCAAAAAAGTATTTGACCTCTCCCCTGATGAGGTATGCTTGTTGCGCTGTGAATATATACACTTGTATTGTCATGATTGTTAGTTTCCCACAGAATAAGCTGAGAATGGGCTTAATGTTTTGTATTTTGCATGTGGCTCTTGTTCGTGTTATGTTGGTGTGTTAACAGTACATACTAAAGATTGGTGAGGGTCCGGCTGCCCAATGCATAAGTGGGTTCACAGCGCTAGATGTCGCTCCTCCACGTGGACCTCTTTGGTACCACTTCCATCTCCCCTTGAGTCCCAATCCTTATTAAACAGGCAGATGTAATTAGGCAAAGTGCTGTAATGAAAATGCTTTTGTTGCAGGATTTTGGGAGATGTTTTCATGGGGCGTTATCACACCGTCTTTGACTACGGCAATCTGCAGGTTGGATTTGCCGAAGCTGCTTAGTGCCCCCGCACACGGCCGTGTTTCGTCATGTCTATGTATATGTTTGTGTCCTTGAACAATCTGTGTGAATTGAATCTTTCAACAAGGTGAAGCTTCCTTGAATTCTCACATTTTATAAGTTGACACAGATCAAAGGTGAAGTAATGCCTAAAAAATAACCATTTTAAACAGTCTCGTCTACATTTTCATTTGCCATTTTAGATTTTCCATTAATCTCGAGAATTCTTCCCACTTTCCTTTTTGGGCCGTTCCCAAAAATACTTACTGTGAGAATAATGGAAAGGCATACCTAATGAGGTAGCCTAGATGTCATATATATAATAGAAGAGTTCTGAGTACATTAGGAAACAAATAAATATGGAAACCTAATTAAAGTATAATTACTCTATTACACCCCCTCAAGCTGTGCAGGGGAAACAATGCGCAGATTGTCCCTAAGAAAAATAAAACGCTGCGGAGATAAACTCTTTGTCAAAATATCTGCTAGCTGAAACTGAGTAGGAACGTGACGAACAACAAGATCACCATGGGAGACTCGTTCTCGTACAAAATGATAATCAATGCTGATATGCTTACTCCGAGCATGTTGAATAGGATTAGCTGACAAATAAGAAGCTGAAATATTATCACACATCAATGTGACTGGTGCACGAACAGGAAACCCCAATTCAAATAAGATGGAGCGTATATGAAGAGTATCCTGAACTGTGTATGCAATTGCCCTATATTCAGCTTCTGTGGAAGAATGAGAGACAGTTGGCTGCTTCTTAGCCTTCCACGAAACCAAATTAGGACCCAGAAAAATAGCAAAACCAGAGGTGGACCGACTGCTATCAGGATAGCCAGCCCAATTAGCATCGGAGTAAGCCTGTATGGTAGGAGTAGTAGTGCTCGGCCGAAGCAGTAATCCATGCGAGATAGACCCCTGAAGATACCTGAAAATACGCTTAACAGCCAAAAGATGAGGTGTACGGGGCAAATGTAATATCTGGTCGAGTCATAGTCAAATACTGTAAAGCACCTACCATACTTCTGTACTCAGATGGATCTGCTAGAAGATCACCATCAGTGAGAGAAAGTTTAGTTCGTGTAGCAAGAGGGGTACGAACAGGCTTAAGAGTGTGAAGATGAAATCTGGTGAGAAGATCAGACACATATTTTTGCTGAGATAAAAATAAACCAGATGGTACTCGAACAGCTTGGACACCTAGGAAAAAGTGTAAATCCCCCAAATCCTTCATAGCAAAACATCGACCCAGACATGAAATAAATGTGGAAATAAAGGAAGGGGAATTACCAGTAACAATAATATCATCAACATATAAGAGAAGATAGATCACTAAAGAACCATGCCGATAGATAAACAAAGAATTATCAGACTTACTGCAAACGAAACCATGCGTCAACAAGAAACTACTAAATCTGTAAAACCAGGCTCGAGGAGCCTGTTTGAGACCATAAATAGCCTTACGGAGGCGACAAACATGGTTAGGAAACTGGGGATGAATAAAACCAGGTGGCTGACGCATATATACTTCTTAAGTCAGATTACCATGTAAAAAAGCATTTTTAACATCTAACTGACGAATAGCCCAATCAAACGAAACAGCAAGAGATAAAACAATACGAACAGTAGTGGGCTTAACGACTGGACTAAAAGTTTCAGAAAAATCCACACCAGCTTGTTGAGTAAAACCTTGAGCCACCAGATGAGCCTTATACCTCTCAACTGACCCATCTGAATTAAATTTAGTTTTATAAATCCATTTAGACCCGACCACATTTTTATGAGGATTAAATGGTACTAAATCCCAAGTATGATTATTAATGAGTGCATTAAACTCCTCTGCCATAGCCTCTCTCCATTTAATATCCTTATTAGCTGTAGAAAAACAAGAAGGATCACATGCCGAAATATCTGTTTTGAGATTAAAAATAGTTTTTGGTTTAAAAATCCCAGATTTGGCTCGAGTTTGCATCGGATGACAGTTCACCGGGGAAGGTGCATGCGGAGAAGGTGGCGGTTCTGCCGAGGATGGTGGAACGGACAGATTTGGGGTGGCCGGAGGAGAGGATGGAGGTGATGTGAAGAGTGGGGAACTGGACCGAGAGGCATATGAGGTCGGGGATTTGGGAGTGCTAGGGAGGTCGGAAATGGGTATGGAGAGGTCGGAAGTGGCAGGCACGGTCGGAAGTGGGGTGGTCTCAGCCGGGTGTAGAAGATGGGTACTGCCAGAAGGTTGGGAGTTTGGTCGAGAGGTAGGGGAGGTGGTATGGGCTGGAATGAAAGAAGGTAGTGTGCTCTCATGTAGCTGGACAGTATTAGAGGATAAAATGGCAGGTTTTGAGGAAGAAATAAGGTCGGAGTATGGAAAAATATCCTCATAAAATCGAACATTCCTATTGATGTAAATCTTGCCACTGATAGGATCTAAACAACGATAACCTTTATACTCAGGGGCATATCCCAAAAACACACACAAAACAGATCGCGGAGATAATTTATTGGCAGAGGTGGCAATAAAATTTGGAAAACAGGCACAACCGAATACACGCATAAAAGAGAAGTCAGGTGAGTGGTGGAATAATTTTTCAAACGGAGAAAGACCATTTAAATTGGGAGTGGGAAGACGATTAATAATATAGGTAGCGGTAAACACGGCATCAACCCAAAAATTAGCTGGCATTTTTGCCTCTAGTAGCATAGTGCGAGTTAATTCAAGCAAATGTTTATGTTTACGTTCAGCTATACCATTCTGTTCAGGAGTGTCAGGGCAAGATTTCCTAAACAAAATGCCATTACTAAGAAAAATTTCACGCATACCATGATTATCAAACTCACCCCCTCCATCACTTTGAAAAATTTTAATCTTGGAATTAAATAGATTTTCCACCATTAGTTTAAAATTCTTAAAATGACTCACAACTTCACTTTTACGACGCATAGGATAAAGCCATGTAAATCGTGAAAAGTCATCAATAAATAAAACATAGTATTTAAAACCACTGGTAGAAAGAACAGGAGATTGCCAAACATCTGAACGAATCAAATATAAAGGAGAAGTAGATTTATGCCAAACTTCTTGAAAAGGTAATCGTTGTGATTTTCCTAAGCGACAAGAAATACAATCATGAGAAAAGTGCGAATTACTAAGAATATTGCCAGTCTTCCTAAGCCTATCTAAGATACGAGTGTCACAATGCCCCAACCGACGATGCCAGACTGGTCCAGGAGCAACATGTGAGGCGAGAGCAACAGGTGAGTAAGAAGAAAGTGAGATGGGGTAGACACCACCATTACTGGAAGCTCGCAGAAGCACCTTCCCCGAAATTTTGTCCTTAACACAAACAGAGTTTTTATCAAAAATCACAAAACAATTATTATCGGCACATAATTTTTGAATGGACATTAAATTATATTTAAGGTGTGGAACATGATAGACAAATTTTAAATGAAGAGGTCGAGGCGGAGTGGACAGATGCAAGTCACCAATAGTCATAACAGGTAAAGTGGAACCATTTGCAACCGTAATAGAAAGTGGTTTAGTATAACTAGATTTATTGACTAAAATACCTTCATTAGCGGTCATGTGAGCGGAAGCGCCAGAGTCAGGATACCAAACAGCCGGAGTGGATTCTCCAGTAGGAACAGCTAAGGCAGGAGTAGATGGCTGAGAAAAACGAGACGGGCACGAAACAGCGGAATGACCTGGGGAATGACAAATTTGGCAGACAACGGGTGGTGGGACTGAACCAAAATTATTCTCAAAAGACGGGATTCCTGCAGACACATTGTTAGTACAAAGAGTAGATAATGCAGGAGTATAAAACGATGACACAACCGTATTACAAAAGACTGTACCCGGTTGTCCCGAAAATTGAGTGTACTGCTGTCCGCGGCCGAATTGTTGCTGCTGGTGGGAGTGGGGCCGCTGACCGAACTGCTGCTGCTGTGCGGGGGACTGCTGCTGCGGGGGGAGCGGCTGACCAGGCGCGGGAAACTGCTGGCGTCCGCGGCCACGTCCACGCCCCCGGCCACGGCGACCTCCTCGGCCGCCCCTATAGGGCTGTTGTTGTCCGGCAGCATGAGCCACATCCTGAGGTCCTCCCGATGATATGTTGGCCGAAAAAGCAAGGGCACCAACTGATGATTCCAAAGATTGTTGATATTGTAATCGTGCCTCTTGATGTACCAACTTGGTGCATAATTTGTCAAAAGTAAGTCCTTCGGGAAAAAGTGTAAGTGGTCCGACAAGCGATTCATAACCCGGTCCCAATCCATAAAGAGTATGTTGTAAAAGATCAGAATCAGAAACCGGGCAATTAATGGAATTCAAATTGTCCGCTATTGTCTGAATTCCACGAACATACTCTTCCATGGATTGATTAGCCTTCTTTCGTGAATGTGTCAACTAATGTTTTAACTCCATGGAACGAGCAAGGCTTGCCGCCATAAACCGGGATTCCAACTTTTCCCAAATTGAAGCGGAATTCTTAAGAGTATGAACCTCCATCAAAACTTCACGAGAGAGAGTAGCAAATAGCCAGGCACGAATAGTTTGATCCAGTTTTAACCAGTGATAATATTCAGGATTCATGGAAGAAGCCTGATATAAATCATAGGTATATAACGGTGGAGCAGGGAGCGACCCATCGAGAATGCCGAGGACACCATTCGCTACCAAGAACGACTCAAATTGAGTTCGCCAAGGTAAGTAATCTTCTACCTTCAATAATTTGGTGGTAACAATTTGATTGATTGCAGAACCAAGAGTCATACCTTGCGCCAACGCAGAAAAGGAAACCGGAATGGAATTATCCAATTGGCGCCGGTGTATAGGCTCCGCCGTGTGAGGCATACGCAGACCAGGAGCTCCGGACAAAGTTGAACCGCCAAATCGAGCTCGGACAGCCGCGGCACTGCTGGATTCGGCGTGGGAGTCGGCATTAAACAGAGGCGGTGGCCGGATTGTAGGTTGTGTTGGTGTCCATGTAAAAATCGGCGGAATCCATGGTGTATCAAGCGGCGAGCCCGAGACATGGTGATGGAGTATCTCGGACTGCAGCGGCGCTGTGAGGGATCCGTCGTGTGAAGCTACGCTCATTACCGGCACGTCATCTGCCGGCGTTGTAGTCGCGGCAGTGGTGCGGGGAGCGGTTTGGGTCTCGGCGGCGGAAGTAGTGACCGAAGACATGAGGAAAAAAAAAATTAGAAACCTAGGGCTCTTGATACCATGTGAGAATAATGGAAAGGCATACCTAATGAGGTAGCCTAGATGTCATATATATAATAGAAGAGTTCTGAGTACATTAGGAAACAAATAAATATGGAAACCTAATTAAAGTATAATTACTCACACAATTTGTGTGGAAACCTAATTAAAGTATAATTACTCACACAATTTGTGTGGAAACCTAGATGTCATATATTCGGTCAGCGGCCACGTCCACTTACCACATTCCCTTTTTGGACAATTTGTGTGGCTCACATTCATTTTACCTTTTTCTCACACAACCACAATCACACATTTCCACTTTATTCCACTTTCTTAATAGGCGTGCCAAGTCAAACCGGGAAGAATTTTTAGGAACGGAGGTAGTATAATCCATAGCAAGCAAGCATTAATCAAGAATGTGCATTCACGGACTAAAACGCCAGCGTGACTTGGAGCATCTTTTAATAGCGCATCTTTAATGCTCTCTTTGAAATCCATCGCTAAGTATATTGTCAAAGACGTTCTTTTCAATGTGCATTACATTTAAATTGTGATTAATGGAGAAGGTCTTTCCAGTATGACAACTCTAAAAAATAGGTTTGTACCCGATTCGGGCCACCCGGACCGGGAACTGGCCCGGCCCGGCCTAGTACTGTGTGGGCCCAGCCCGGGAACCGGGTACCGGTTCCGGGTCTAGGCCCGGTTTGGGGGGCACGGGACTTGTACGGGTTAGGGGAATGCCGAACCGGCAATGCCCGGGTCTAGTTTGGGCCTAATTTATTTTTCATTTATTTTTGGCTTCCCCGGGTTGGGTTGGGTCACCAGGGTGTTTTTGGGGGGTTGGGGGGGGGGGCCAGGGTAGTTAGGAAAGCAAAAAAAAAAATTGTAACTAGGCTCTAGCCCTACTCGAACCGAACCCGGACCGGACCCGGTAGATACCCGGGCCAGTTCCAAGCCTATCCCCAAACTCCAAAAAACCCGCCGGGCCTAGGCCCGACCCGGTCCAACACTACCCAAAAGTACTATTCTTTGTCAACTTATGGCTAATAGTGGTCTAGATCCTTGTGTGGCTCCTGCAAAACCATAGGAATACGTGGAATACGTCGAAGCAGGTTAAGAATGGGTCTTGTACAACTCTTCTCTCTAATGAAAGATTTTTTGCCTTTCGATACCAATTGGTTGTTGGGAGATACTTTCGACAATGATCAAAACAACTTGATTTTTCACTGAATTTGAGTCGATTTGCACGGTTGCACCTAATTTTTCCATACATATCGGATATTTCGTAAGCGGCGTTGCTCCATCTCAAAAATGTACCATATGCAGGAAAGTCACCAATAATCCATATGATAAAGGCTTTGCTCATAAACATTTGATCTCGAGAGACATCATATGTCGGTGTCCTAATAGCCTAAATTTCTTTCATCTTTTCGATAAGGGGCTGAAAATGGTATATCTTTTTCTTTGGATCATTTGGACCTAGATATATTAAAGTCAAAAACATGAAATGACTTTTCATGCATATATTAAGGAGAGATTATACGAAGTCATGATTGATCAACATGAAAACTTGCTCCCTTTTTGTGTGTGTGCGTGTTATGTGATTTGATCTTTTATTTCTTCCTATTTTTTTGGTAAGTGATAGCCTCTAACTAACAGATACACATTAAAGGATTTTTTAAAATTTACCCAGCTGCCCTTTATTAACTTACGTGTGGATTAGAGAGCAAGTGCATTTTTAAAATGTTTGTACTTCCACCATATATTTGTGCACCTCATCCTCTTATCACCTTTGATTTACTAAGATGTATGATTCAGATTTGTTCTCACTTCTTACAATAAGGAGTGTTCTCATTTGAACCACTCCGGCCGAGAGGTTTTGGGGACCTTCCCGGTGAAATTTTTCGATGTAATTTTTCGAACATGTTCATTATCAAGTCTAATTTATCCATATCAAATTTCAGCTAAAAATTCGATAGGGGGGGCAGTCAAAAAAATTTCCTACGGAAACTGCGCAGTTTATATATATAAAGCACAACCCAAACCCATCGGAAACACCCAGCCCTGCCCATGTAATTTGTATGCCCAACTTCTCGGAGTGCACCACCCGACTCATTGGACTGTTCACCTACCAAGACCTTGCTTACTAGTTACCACTACCGCCCGGCACCCGCTCGACGGGCTCTATGACTATGAATCTATGATCACGATTCCTACCTTTTCTCTTGGGGCCCCCCCATTGCTCCAGCCAGAACCTAAATGTTATGTACCACTTTCAAATTTCACAAGACTTTATACCTAAAGTTGCACTAATGACAGTTGTGAACTTGTGATGTTTGTAACTTATTTAAATTTGACATAAACAATGTCTGCAGTAAAACGGGGTTAGCAGAAGTTTTTGTGTGTGTGTACACGTATCCAACATTGCAACCACAATTAGTTTGAGATATACTTGTTCATAGCCACCAATTACCACTTCATTAAGTTCATAACCAAATGAAAACAAATTGTATTAGTAATACTTCGTACTTCCTATTAGTTTTTTTTGGACCATTCTTTCTAACCTTCCTATTAGTTATTCACTCAAACGAGAGTGAATAAATATGACTACACGTGAATGATAATAAATACAGAGTAGCTGACTGGAGTTGCAAGCATCCACTATTCATATTCGAACCGAACCAACCATCTCCCATCCTCTGTCACCACGAATGTATAATACCCATGAGTGCTATAACAATTCAATCTACCACAAACTTCGTGTTGAAATTGTATACACGCAAGCTGCAACAAAACAATCATATGGTAAAAATATAGAATGAGATGAATAAGTTAGGTTCGACAAAGAAACATATATAATATTAACACATGGAAGTAATACAATATGATATAGAAAGTGTCAAGACTATGAGCTACTTTAAGTTGCAGCGTTTACCTTACGAAACACAAGCTGAGACGGCAAATCTACACCATTGTTAAACTCCTTGTCTACCGCAGTCTTCAATCCCTGATTATTGTAATGAACACAACACAAAAACTCGTACTAAAAAACACATTAAATATTTTGGAGAAAAAAGAACATAAATGTACACTATTCTAGTCGTATTTTATGGCGGGACTCTCTTACCTCAACATCACCAGTGAACTTAGGCACATGAATAATATGCTTATACCTCCTAGGATATCCGGGGCGAAGTCCATCCACAAACTTCAGAATGTCACACGTATGGTATGCGAAAACTATAATCAAGAATCCCCTTCAAATGATGAAAAAACAACTAGAAAATTAGGACGCAGTGCAGCCGCATAGTAATCCTATGACCTTCGTCCCATATTAATTGCAACGGTTTTACTTATGCACAATACAGTATACACAAAATCGACTATGACCACATCTTATTCCCTAATGCATTAAAAAATACAGTTACATTTGTCTAGATGTAAAAATTTAAAATATGATTCTTATACAACTTATCATGATAGGAAATCAAATATAATTAAAGTTAAAACGGTCGCAACTAAACTGGTACAGTATGTGATAGTAGAAATTACTCCAAATAGGAGTAAAACCAAGGTAGTCACAAGCGCTCGCCCTGGCACTTAAGCGCACAAGGCGCAGCGAGCATGACCCACAGCGCCTGAGAAAGTAGGAAGCGCACGTACCCGGGTCAGGCGCACCATAAGCGCATGAAGCGCTGAGGCGCACGCCTAGGTCGCTTGAGCCGGAAAAGGCTTACAGCCTCTTTTTTTCTTTAAAACTTTCATGAACAATTAGGCCATATCTTTAATAACACTCAGCCCATGAAAATATAGGATAAAACCAATAAAACCTACATAACACTAAGAGTTGAAGTACGTAAAAACTTAAAACTTGCGCAAGACACTACAGCTATTATCGCTCTCCTCACTCGACACTCAAGCTGCTCTATACCAGCCAGTTCTTTCAGCTTTCGTTATCATCTCAAGAAAATCAGCTCTCCCTCACAGCACTAAACAAGGTATGTTTTCTTTTTCATGCAGTCCTCTTCATCCAAATACTCATATTACACTAGTGTCTAAATATTAGTGTAAATGTGTAATAAAGTAATAATACGATGTATTAGTATATTAGTATGTATATAATACTCATAGTACATGAATATATATACTCTGTTCTTAGTTTTAAAAGGCGTGAGGCGGCTTGAGGCGCTTTCATTGATTTACCCGAGGCGCGAGGCGCTAGGCGGTGAGGCGCGCGCCTCACGGAACTAAACAATATAAGTATATAACTTTGGTGGTAAATTATATTTATACTTCATGAAGGCATGAAACAAGCCATATTTATACCTCAAGCCATGAAACAAGCTTATGTAACATCAAAATCAATCACAAAAAAAAATTATTCAAACAGTAACAACAAATATGTTAAATGCCTATTCATAATGTAACTAAAAAGCAAAGTAGCAAACTCACAAGCAAAGTAGTGTACTCATCGACAATTAATAGCAATGTTTAATAAAACCATTATATAATCAAGTGTTAATATTTACAAACTGTCATAATAAACTCTTAATAATAATTTTAACAATTAACAAATTTTTTTTTTAATAAATTGTTATATAAGAAGTTTTTTATAATAATAAACTGTCTCTGCCAAAAAAAATAATATTTTTCTAATATAACTGTTACATAATAAACTATAAACTAAAACCCAGTTTATAGTAATATTTTAATAATTTAAAAGAAATAAACAGTCAATACTAATTTCTAAACATTTAATAGTAATTTTTTTTAAAGTTGTGATAAATTTTTAATAAACTATAATTATTAAAAGTAAAAACTTAAACAATCTAATTGTAGAAACCCTCTTTATTATTATTATTATTATTATTATTATTATTATTATTATTATTATTATTATTATTATTATTATTATTATTATTATTACTATTTAACATTGATAAACCATCTGATTTAGTTTAGGGTTTAGGGCAGATTGCTAAAGTGTTAATATTTAAATAATTGAAACTGTTTGATAAATTTAAAAATTTTAAAATAAAAAGAGAAGAAAAGGTAAAGGAAACAAAAGAGCAGAAAGAGTAAAGGAAACCTGCAACTCCTTAAAACAAACCTGCGACTCCTTTAAAATAAAAACTGCTACTTTACGAAGCTAGGAGAGAGGAGCGGAAGAATAGGGAAAGGCAAAGAGAGAATCGCCAAAGGTCTCGCAGGGACAAGTCGATACTCATCCCAGAGGCGCCAGAGGCGGCCGCATCATAGAAGCGCAAAAAGCGTCAAAAAGCGACGGATGGGGCGCGCCTTTGGGTATCTACTGCGCCTGGGACTAGCAGATGCGATATACCCATCGCCTAGCTGCGCCTCGCGCCTTTGCGCGCCTCAGGCGCGCTTTTTTAAACTAAGACTCTGTGGTTTTCTAAAGATATTACTCTTAATATTTCGAGATCTTAACTTTAAATGTAATACTCAGTTCTGTGTTTTTCACTTTTTCCAACAATAATCTGTATATAAACAAAGGTATTATGAAGATATTACTCCGCCATAGGTCAGTGCATATCTAACTTTGATAAACACACAAGTACACAACCAGATTACTCTGTTTGACCCAACCAAAGTAAAACATAGCTGTTAACGAAGGGCTGAGTACAACATGTTTATCAAAGTGGGTATCCACCTTTTACAACACACAACATGACAAAAAAAGATTTGAAAACTAAAAGAACATGACAAACTCACAACCAGGTTTGTGTTTTTTCATTATTGAGCAGCCATGTTTGAGTGTTTGACCCACAAATATATTATATATGTACTCAGCTTTGTGGTTTTACAAAGCTGTTTTCTAGTGTATTAAATAATTCAAGCTTTGTGCTTTTTCAGGATATGGAAGGTGGAACAAATGCTGTCAGTGGTGCTTTGTGTTTTTTATGCAATTGGTTCAATATGATGTTACATACATCATATTTGGTAATTATAGAATAGTATTCACCCGAGTCAGGCGAGCGCTTTAATTGCGCCTCAGGCACTGAGAGGCCCCTAGCGCTTCAAGTGCGCCTTTCGACTTTGACTACCTTGAGTAAAACTATGGGGGAAAAAAAATAAGACTTATGTTTTTATTTCAAAATAGGACCATATTACTCCAATTTGAAACATACCTAGTTTTTCAATCCATTCATACCCCTCCTTTAAATATGAGTAAAAGGTAGTCAAAAGTTATAATTAATGCTTTAATACATAATAAATTCGTTAAAAAAAACGTAGGAAAATAATAAAATTAATAAAATATTTATAAAATAAAAATTTTTAAAAATAGGCTAAAGGGTCAAATAGGCCCTTGAACTAACTTAAAGTGTTCAATTGGTCCCTTATATAGGAGGTTCTGCCCGGTCGTCGCCAATTGGGGCGGTTCTCGGTGGAATTTTTTGATGAATTTTTTTTAGCATCGTCTTCATTAAGTCTAGTTTACTCATATCAAATTTCAGCTAAAAATTATATCAGGAAGGCAGTCAAATGATTTTCCGAAATGTACTGTGCTATTTAACTGCGCAATTATCTTCAAAAAATCATTTGACTGTCTTCCTGGTTGAATTTTTAGCTGAAATTTAGTATGGGTAAATTAGACTTGATGAAGAAGATGCTCAAAAAAATTCATCAAAAAATTCCACCGGGAACCGCCCCAATTGGCAACGACCGGGCAGAACCTCCTATATAAGGGTCTAATTGAACACTTTAAGTTACTTCAAGGGCCTATTTGACCCTTTAGCCTAAAAAATATTACAAAAACATAAAATTAATAATAAAAAAAAGAAAAAAAACTTGAAATAAATAAAATATATATCGATGCCTTTTCCACCGCCTGTACTGCCTCCCTGCACCACCACCTCCGAGCAGTGTAAAGAAAGCAATTTTTCCTTAAAACCCCATTTTTTGAAATGCCAAACAATTGGCATTACTCTTTCAGAATGCCAGAATTTTCATTAAATCTGCCATAAATATGGAATTCATAATGCATGTGGCTTCCCCCCCCCCCCGGTGACCGGAGCTCGTGGTGCTGGCCGCTGGGGTGGCAGAGGCAACGGCGATTTTTTGTTTTGTTTTTTGCGCTTTTTTTATAAGTTTTTTTATTTGTTAATTGCTTTTGTTTGTTTTATTATAAATTCGGTTACTTTTCCACCGCCTATACTGCCTCCCTGCAGCAGCACCTCTGATCAGCGTTAAAAAATGCCATGTTTTCTTAAAAAAAAATGCCATTTTTCTAAAAATGTCAAAAATGGCATATTAATCTTTGAGAATGCCAAAATTTTCATTTAATCTGCCATAAATATGGCATTCATAATGCATGTGGCATTTTTTTTCGATGACCAGAGGCGGTGGTGCTAGGGCGGCTGAGGTGGCGGTGATTTTTCATATTGCCTTTTTTGTTTTTTATTTTTTGAAACAATTTTTTGAATTATTATTATCAAATATTTTTTATTAAATTTCTAGTATTTTTACTAGTTTTTATTATTTTATTATGGATTAAAACATTTCAATAGCTACATGGGTATATTCGTCCAAGACACAAATAATTAGTCATATGAAACATAGTTTAGTTTTTGGACCTATTTGTGCAAACTGACCGACTTTTGGTGCTATATGCATAATTAACTCTAAATGTACGATCATCCAACCGGTTTATATCAAATACAATAGTACTCCGTATATAACTTGCATCGCACATAATAACATCCACCACATAACACATTGAGCACTAAATGAAAAGGCACAACCTAACCTCAGCAAAGCAATATCTTTCCTTTTTTCAAGAATACGTCTGCAGAAAATATCATTCTTGATACGATGCATTGCATCCTCAATGGCATCATCAGAAAAAGTATGTTTGTTCCTCCTCATGTCGTATTTGTTTTCGTACTCTACAATTGTTTCACGAAAATACCAATCCTGTAGAAACAAAAAGAGAAAGAATAAGTTGAGAACATGAATTCTCCTTAATGTGGCAGTTTGCCGCCCAATTAACGTTAAACCAGTGATGGATACCTGTTTGCTTTTCTCACGGAATACATCAACAAAATCTGAATTATCCAGGACTCTTTTCAATAAATCAGATTGTCTTTGCACTAGATCAAAACAGTTTTGCTTTGAAACAGGGGAGATGTGAGCATTTGCAAGATCAGTAGAATCTATATTTTCCAGAAAACTCTTGGCCATAGCAACAAGTTCATGATTTTTTTTCCTCTCAATTCCAATGGCCAGCTCCATGATGAAACATTCCTACATAAGGTATACATTAGTGAATCAGATGCTAGTTCTCTTCAATAAGTGCCTCACATGCAGCAACCATGTGCATTCATTATCTAGTGTGCACGCCAAAAGAATTTGAAATAGGTGATATCCTTCAATGGACTACTGATAAATGGGAATAAAAAATTTATTTGCTTCATAAGATGTATTCCTTTGTTCTTACTTAGAGGAAGGAAATGACATGACCATTCCACCAACCAACCCCCAAAATAAACATGTGAGAAGAATGTACCCCAACAAGTTCTGGAATGGGAGAGCCTTCCTCATCAAGCCAAGTCCTTGCTTTCTGAAAAGACAATCACATAACACCTTAAACTCAAATGGCATCCAACAATTGAATATTCCATGCAGGACCGTCATGACAATGTGTTGAATTCAGATCATACACAACCAATATTAGCAAGCAATCCACACAATATTTTTAGCATTTTCCAAAATCAGTATTAGCACAAAGGATGACCGAGAGCCTACCATCATCGCAGAAACAATGACCAGATGGATCTGGAGGGGGTCTGTTACACGAGAAGATTCCACTTCACTTCGCAACTCCTGGTTCACATTCAAATGCACACTTTGACTTGAGGAACAATTCACCATTCAATAATATCACAGAATAACATTTTATTAGTAACACGAAAAATAACCTGACACTAAAAAAAAAAAAAGATGCACGTACTTTAATTGTATCACAGGGAGCGCCTTTCTGCTTCATCGTCCAAAGCAATCGCTGAATTAGTTAAAATAAATACATTAAACACCAAAGGAATGAATGGGCTATAGCATCTTATAGTCTTGCATCACAATGCATTCTACTCCAAAATGGAATAAATATTTTGTTATTGTCGCAAATGAACAATCCATCAAATAAGTTGAATACAGATCAAGAATGCTGATAAAAAGAGACTTTAATGCATATAGATGAAACTTGGCAGTCTACCTGAAATAGATCCAAACAGTGTAGTGTATCTTCACCCAAAGGAGCATTTACCGTAACAGTGCAATCCATTGTATCCAACTCAGGATACTCATCTTCACAACTCCAGCACACTATTAGAATGATTAGAAGCCGCCTTCACATACATGGTACAGTAGTCAACAAGAGAGATATGACATTATCAGATCAAGTTTAGTAAATAGTTTGCATATGATACATGCTACACGACAACATTGCATGCAAGCCTAAAGACAAAGTGTGCGCCAACCGAGGTTTTCATCGTGTGCCGAATATGTTTGCAAAAACTTACTCTTATTCGGTTTGGTTCGGTTGGATTTAGTTCGATTTGGTTCGTTTTTGGATCTCTAACTTTTTAATAATTTATGAAGGTTTTAATGAATTTCTTTAGTTCAGTACGATTTTGTTTTTATTGGCTTCGGTTTGGATCGGTTTAATACGATTTAATACAGTATTATGTTCGCTTTGATACGGTTTGGAGAAAATACTACCACACTCAAACCAAATTGCATATTGTCCGGATTCGGTTTGGTTGGTGCGTTTTGGTTTAATTCGGATTGGTATGTTTCGGTTCGGTTAAGCCAAACCAATATGCCCACATCAAACACCTTGTCGCCTAGACACCCTACTAGGCAGTAAAAGGCTGAATGTAGTACTTGACTTTAATATGAGCCAAGTGTAATAATATATAACTGACTAATTTAAAATATAATATGCTCTCTCCGTCCCATTGGACTTTGCCAACTTTTTTTAGTTGTCCCAAAAAAACTTTGTCACTTTCCTTTTAAAGCAACTAAGTCGTTGTTCTGCTCAATTCTCTCTCCTCCGCTCAAATCTCAATCACAGTTTTTACCTTTCTTACTTCTCACCTACTTTGAACTTGGCAAAGTCCATCGCGACGGAGGTTGTAGTATGCAACACTTTCTATTCATTTTGGCTGTCATATAAACAAAAAAAAAGACAGCACCGAAAGGGGAGAAACAACTAAGAAGAGAAACAAAAAAAGAAGATGAAAGGGGAGAAAGAAAGGAAACCTTGTCAGGTGGCGACGAACCGGATGAGCACGGATGAGCAGTGTCATCAATTATCTTTAGTTATTTTCTTTTTCAAGGTTCATATACAAATTGATTTACTACCTCCATTCTACTTTAAGTGCAACAGTTCATTTTTCACGTTTGAAAGCGGACACATTTGGCCATTAATATATTTAATTCTCTATTAGTAAAAAATACAAATAAAAATAAGATTTTGAAAATTTGCGATGAGACAAATGTAATACCCCCCCCCATCCCATTTTGTAAGATACACTTTCATTTATGAGTTGTCCCAAAATATGATCACTTTCATAAATTGGACTCCAATAACTTTATACTTTCCCACTTTGTTCCTTTATCTATCATTTCACCCTTACTTTTTTGTGGACCCATCTTACTCTTTCCTTACATTTTGGAGATTAGAAGTGTAAACAAACACTTTATCCTTTATTTTCTTAAAATTGACACCAAGCCCAAATGCATCTTATATTATGTAATGGAGGTAGTACTATTTTTCAAAAAATAAAATTTAATACATTTACAAATAAAATACAATCAAAGTAGAACATGTGAAGTGTAAAATACAAATAAAAACTCCAACAGACACAGAATATTAATAAAAACCTCATCATAGTAGTCGTATTAGTAGCAAACGGATCTTGGGGTCTCAGAAGATATTTGAAGCAGTAAGCTTTCTTGATACTAGCTATCCGTTCCTCAAAATTTTCATGGAGAAATTTCCTTGAAAAATGTCTTATCATGTCGGGCAGGACACATTTCTGTGAAAGGATAATAAGAAAGTATGTGGGTAAGGGTGCTAGCTACAGACGTTAGTTATAGTTGTCTAGAGTTTCTGATCACACTAAGCTACAACACAAGTACCTGGACCTCCAATGTTTTATACAAAAAACAACTGAATTGTTCATTTTTCCAGATATTTTTCAGAGCTTCGAAGTGTTTTCTAGCATCAAATCTTGAAGTACCATTTTCAGCTAACACATCTTCATCAAGAGATTGAAGCATCTCCTGTCCCATCTTTACAAGTTCGTGATTCTTGGACATTTTGTCACATAACTTCTTAATGGCTCCATCCTGCATAAATTGAAGGCATACTTTAATTGAATATCTTATGTAACTGTAGCGTACCGTCAAATATCCATGATAGGAACCGATCCTCACAGTAGAAACAATATGTACATTCAATAGAGAGTTTAGAGAAGTTCTCAGAATTTCATAAGCTATCTCATGAAACTCACGTATAAAGGAAGTTGTTAAACAGCAGAATAAGGAAGAAGAAGAAGAAGAAGAAGAAAATCGAGACAATTTCGAGAGTGCCTCTCTCCCCTAGATACCAGACTTATTTCTAACTGAATTCCTGCCTAACTCTTCTTCTCCACTCTCCTATTTATACTACTCTTTAATATTATTCTCAATAGCCTATTCTGCCCAGTTTTCCATCATTTGCAATGGAGCCAAAGATTCATTATTTTCTGGCTTGAGAATATGATGGAATAAAGCAAAATGGCTCACTAAACTGTCTGCGCTTCTTTGTTATGAAGTAGCAGTCAGTCCATGCAATTTTGGACGCGGTTTTCACTATGGGTCATCCGGAAACAGTCTCTTTGTGCTTTAGTACAGGGGTAAGACTGCGTACATCCGACCCCCCTTACCCCACCGTAGGTGGGAGCCTTTGCGGCACTGGGTAAATGAAAATGAAAAAATGAAGCCTATTCTGCTCAGGTCCCTATCAATCCAACTATCCAAGTGCATATGAAGTATAATACACAAGGTATTTAAAATAAACGAGTGAAATTGAGGGCGGCATTAAACTATCTTGATGTAGCACAAGGTGAAACAAATAATATAGCAACTAATACAAAGGGTCAATTCATTAGGAAAAAACGTCAAGTTTCTTCATGTTCATAGCTCACAGGCGCAATAGCACTAGGGGCCACCTATAATGTCTGGGGAGCTTCTAAATTCTTCCAAAATCAAGGTAGTCAAACTCGAGATCCTACGTAGAATCGGATATTGGAATAAGGATCGTAAATCGTAGGATCGTGACTCGGATCGTAAGATCCTACAAAATATATACTTACATATGCATATGCATATAAATATGTGTGTGTATGTGTAATATGTATACATATAGTTAGAAAATAAATATAATTGATAAATAACGATCAAAGGAGATGTTTATAATATAATATCAAATATTTTGGGTACTTAAAGACTTGAAACAAAAAGAGTTGACTCATAATTATATAATTAAACATCTGAAAATTAACTTACAATACTCTGTATGTTATAAAGTAATTAAAGCATCAATAATTTGTTAAATTAACATCTAATAAATTAATTTACAGAAAGCACACAAACAATCCACTTCATTAAATTTAAAGTAACCAATTAATGTACAGTAGACACAAAGCATCATGCGTAATTATTTACTAATAAAATGTTTTTTTGAAAGGATTTACTAATAAAATGCTACACAGTAGTAAATAAATTAAAGTGTCAATATTAATATACTATCGTATAACATAATTCATGAGTATATAACATTATAACATATACGGAGTACGATAGTACAAGCTAAAAAACAAATTAGCTGAGCGCACTTTTGGAACAGGGAGAAAAGGTCGCCTTCGAGTCTTCTACGTAGAGGTGGAGGCTTTGACTCAGTCGGGCCTCAGAATGAAAGTCGTCAGTGTTTCTGTTTCGAAGGGAGTAGCAGAACAAGCAAATCGAAGGTGATGATGCTTCAGTCATTGTCTGTTTTTTTTTTCCTTCCACCGACGACTCGCCGATTCTGTACGTTCCTACGAGTGAGCGCTCCTACTCGGCGATTCTACCGATTCTCCTTAATCTACGATTCTTAGTACAAACGGGATCTTCAGTCTGGTTTTAGATCGTATAATCGGACGATCCTACGAGCTGACTCGCGATTTTGACTACCATGTCCAAAATGATATATAGCACATTATCACGTGCGAATTTGATTTTGCAGAAGAATCTAAAAATGTTAGATAACAAGCTATCCTTCCAATTTGTGTGTCTTGATTGGATCTGTCGAGCACCGCACTCCGCACGGTGTGGAGAATGCCTCAAATCTTGCCTGTGATGAGGTAGTGCTTCGTTAGGAAGACACCACCCTCAAAGCGAGAATGGAATCATGTGTAACCCTTCCCCAGACAATGAACTGAGTGGTTGGTGTTGTATCCTTTTTACTGTTTTAGTAAGACAATCCTTTGTTTGCTTATTTCTGCTGAGGCATGTAGTCCTGAGTGGCACTATAATGATGTTGTGCCCGGGTCCCTATCAATCCAACTAAAACATCACATCTCTAATTTGATCTAACCACATTACTTGTTTATTTTTCTTACTTTCCTTAAATACCAGGCTTATTTTAATAATGTTTCACTTGCCACTTTGCCAGGCTTGTCAGGGTTTAGAAAGTACTCCCTCCGGTTCAGAAAGAACTTGTACACTTTCCTTTTTTGTCAGTACCACAATAAACTTTACACTTCTTATTCTACCCATAATTTTGATTGAAATGCCATAAATACCCCTCCCTCATAATAATCCTATTACTACCCACCCACCCAATAATACCTACCTCATTAAACCCCCACCGCCCCACTTTCTTTGTTCCTATCTATCCGTCCTCTGACCTTATCTTCTCTCATCCTCCCACCCCATGGTCTGCTCATCTTCGTCCTCTCCACCATACTCCTCATCGCACTCCTTCTCCTTACAAAGTTGCCCCCTTCTGAGCTGTGTTCATCTCTGGTTTAATGGATGATAAAAGCACCTCTACCCACACCCGCGGTCTTGATGGGGGAGATGCATTGGATGTGAAGTCGCCGATTGAGTACTCCGACCTCCCCCGATCTGAACCACATCTTTCAGATCTGAAAAGTGTGAGGTCCGCTCGAATTTCGGATCTGGAAAAACAGGCTAGTTTCCCACGAATTACCCTTAATTTTACTCCTACTACTTTAAAAAAAAATAATCTTCCACATGCAATGTCTTTTGCAGAATTGCATCCTTGGGCAAACCCAGTCATCATGCGGTTCGGTGATTGCTCCATTGAAACCAATCCGTATTGGCGGTTGAGGAAAAATACGGCGACAACCTAGTCAGTAACACGTTCGAAGGGCTGGATGGCTTGGAGGAAGAAGGGGATGAGGCTACCTTGAGATATTTTGAGGGTGAGGAGGCATATGGGGTTGGTGATTCCGCTGACGAACTATTTGCAGACATAAAATTCTACGGGCAGTACTCTCTGTCTCTCTACTATCCTTGTTTTTTGACATAAGTGATGAGTACTTGCATGTTAGTTGGCTAAGGTGTGTATGATTTGAAAATTAAGGATGACTTGGGGGTACTGATTATCAAAATGTTGCTTGTGAAAAATGATGACTCAATGTTTGTTGTTTGATTGAGTCTGAAACCGTGAAACCGTGTGCTGCCTATCTCTTCTGTGATATTCTGTATGCCTAAACTGTGAGTGTGCATTGCATCAGTGTGTGCCTCAAATGTGATCAAATACTTTTGCAGCCCACTTATGAATGTGTAGGAGGCCTAGGTTGTAAATCATGTTTGGCATTGACTTGCTTAGAATAATCAGTGTACAAGTGTAAAACTATGATCTAGGAAGTTGATATGAAGCGGGAAGAGCATGGGGCGGGACCGGGATTGGGCCCACTTCCGTGGGCCGGTCACGGGCTGTCCTTATAGTTATTTATTATTTTTAAATTAATGTTATGTTTTATTTTGGGCCTTTTATTAGTAGAGTACTTATTAGAGTTAGTATGGGCCTAACTAGGGTTTAATTAATTTGGGCTTGATTAGGGTTGCTTGTAGAAGGCTATTTATACCCCTTGCCAGGGTTCATTCTTATTATCTTGGAATTAAAGTTGGTTTAGCCTTTTGGCTCTGGGCAACGGTATTTATTTATCGTTGATTATCTGGGCAATGGGCAACGGTTCACCCCGTTGACTTTTATTTTTCTGTTCTTATCAGAAGTACATCAAAAAAGGTACTTTCATCAGTCTGAAGTACATACAAAAAATTGTACACCTAGTTGCTTAATCATCCATGTGTACATACAAAAAGTAGTAAAAAAATTTGTACTGTCCATTTTAGATAGACAGTTCAGAGATGAAGATCTTGATAATCTTCATCTATGAACTATGTCCCTGTCACAACACTGCTTCTAACTGCTGTGTTTGTTGTCATCTGCCCCTCCAAGTGTGCTTTAGCTGTGTTATACACTTCCTCATCAATCAGGACATTCTTGGGTAATTTACCTTGCCTTTCCAATCTGTCCTTCCCATCATGGGGAAGTTTGAAGTTGTTTCCCCCATTGTGTTTAAGAATTTCCTCCATTACATATTGTGAGTTGTGAGTTCATTGAATGCAGTTTGTATTGATTCTATCAACTCATTGATAGTCTTAGGTGCTTTCCGGTCTTTCAAAGAATCAATAGCTCTAAAAAAACCCTAAATTCAACACATTCAAATCTGGGATTGTCTTGTTGTATGCAACAAATTATGGATCAGTAAGCTCTAAATGAGGCCTAGCATTGTCTTGTTGTATAATGACAAGTTTGCTATCTGAATCTGGCCACTTCTCTTTAATTGCTGGCAGAATGTGTGTTAGCATCATGTCTTTTATAACTGCTCTAGTGACACTCATTGTTGCCTTAGTCTCTAAGGTCCTAGCTGGCCTATTCTTACTTGTTCTCTTTGCTTTGTCTTCATAGGTAAAACGAAAAATCCCCATTTTACCATCACATAATACATCTCCCTGGTTGCCTATTCTAAGCCTTCCTACTGCAACAATAAACATCACTTTTGGTATGAATTTTTTGGATTGATCTATTCTGTAAGGGTGTAAGGTTCCTCTTCTGTTGGGAAGGTATAAAATGTTAAGGTTTCTTTTGATAAGTAGAATCACTTCTCATCTATGTGTACATGAACATAAAAGTCATGAAAAGTTGAGGAAAGGGGAAGTGAGGTAGGAATGATATGGATTAGGCAGAAGTGTAGCCTTTTGAGCATTCCCTTGTCTATGAGAAGAGGTTTAATGGCATTTGAATGTTTTTTAATTTGTTTGCTCTTCAACCATCTCTGCACAGTTGACTTTAACACTTGCATTGAAAATGCTAAAGACCTCATATTTTTCCTTTTATAATATGGAATTCTAGACATTTTTGACAAGTCAAATGCAATTCTTTTTGTTCCTACATTACCTTTCATATTCCACTGCACATCTATGGGTAGTCCAGTCTGCATTTGTGCCTTTGCTTTGCCCCACAGTGTGTGTACAGTTTGCCTTGAAGTGTTGAACTGAGTTGCTGCATTTGTGATCATCTCCCTCTGAAGTTTTCCATCGGCAGCCTTTGCTAACAACATGTCTATTATTCTTCTTCGCTTATCACTTGTTAGTTTTGCCACATGTTTTGGCAGCCTTTGAGTGTTATCCGTGTGACTTTCTGGCGATAAATCATCTGCAGGTACATGGGACACTGCATCTCCATCTCCTCTTCCAAAGCTTCGGTGTTAGGCTCAAAGGGAGGCATATCTGCTGAAGTACTTGCAGCAGAGGGAGATTTCGGAGGCATTTCAGGAAGCTCAGAGACAAAAGAGGAAAACTGAGTTGTCCCAGTTTCAATTTTTTTGGGAGTAAAGAATGTGTAGTTGGGGGAGTAAATGAGGGGTATATATAGGCTAGAAGTAATTTTTGGTGGAAAAGGTTTCTATTTTTACTTTTGGAGGGAAGCTGAAAAAATCAAACCCTTTACTCTTGTTTTGTACGAAAACTGTACTGTTTTCGTAGAGGGGTACGAATTACCCTCTCTCTCCTCTTGTATGTTCTCAACAGATTTTAATAGCCAAGACGCCAAGTACTCCTTTTATTTACTGGTTTTACCCTCAATACTTTAATCTTTACCTTTACTTTTGCAACCAAGGGTATAAATGGAAAGTCAACAACAACAAAAATTCCAACTAAAAAACAGAGAAGTCAAACCGTAAAGTTCTTTCTGAACCGGAGGGAGTATATATCAACAATTGGACACATGTATAATGAAAGGGACTTTTAATAATTGAAACTTACTGGGCCTTTTTTAAGTTACACCCACAGTAAAAAGAAATAAATAAAGAAAAACCCGCCTCAGAAAAAAGAATTGACGTGCGCCTCAAGCGTAAGCCACTTATTTTCCCACAAAAACTTACTCCCTCCGTCCCATAATGGTTGTCCACTTTCAATTTGGCACGATTATTAATAAAGTGGTTGAAAAGTAAAAGTTGTGGTTGAGATTTGAGTAGAATAAAGTGAATTAATAAGAACCACGTATTTCATGCCAAAAAAGGAAACAAGACATTCATTTTGGGACAACCCAAAAAGGAAAGTAGGAAAACCAAAATGGGACGGAGGGAGTATGCCTCAATACCTGATGTCTACCCCTAACATTGAGGCGCGCCTCGAAACATGCTTCTTAACTGCCTTTTTTATCTATCTGTTATGGGACTTCTGTGAAATTGGAAAATGAGCTTCTAAATTAGTGTTTCTACGCGATTGAGTATTTATTCTCATTCTTCCTCTCTTTTATGTTAGTTACACGATGGTCAATCTCTGTGCTACAATGCAGTTATGCAGGTTCCCAACAACATATGATCATCAAATTATAACTCTCATGGCTGACGATGGCGGAGAATGGCGCGTGCGCCGTGCGCCATGTGGCGAGAAAATTCTCCTGCGCCGTGAACACTGCTCATGGCGTGATAGGGACCTTGACAGTGATAGTAATAAAAATACTAGTGTCTTTTAATAGTGTATAATAAAAGAGGTTTAGGCCCTGTAACTACATAGCAGAGAATATGATAAGGATTAAGACATAGAATAAGGAATACGATAAATATGTGTTGGGGCGTAGAATAAGGCAGGCAGAAATTGGGAATAGGAACTGGGACTCTTGGGAAAGATAGGAACTCTCGAACTTGCCTCTACACTTCTTCCATTACATTTCTTCCGTTGCTTTGTAATTTCCTAAGGATATCTGAGGATTTCTCACAATTCCTTGATTGAATATACTAATGTTTTTAGTGTTTGGATAGATCTCTATCATGGCAACGACCATAGACGTGGCGGCGCCATTTGCGTGCCATCGCCATCACAATTGCGCCATCGTATTTAGCAAATGTGAACCTATTTACTTCGTGATTTTGGGGCTTTTGGCTCTGATAAATACTACATAATCTATCAGGCCATAATTTTAATAAAACCCTAATAACAGATTAATATGCTAGCCCATTATACTAACAAAAACCCTAAGCAAAAGTAAATAAAGATGCAAGTAATAACACGTAAAGTCAAAGCTGCTGCAGTAAACGTAAAGCTGAGCTGCACAACAAGGAACGGAAAAGAAAAGGATAAAATAGCTGCCAAAAAATGAATGATTTGGTATACATTCGGCAGAATTAACATCTTCAAGATCTAGCTTCCAGAAATATGAAAATATGTTTGGATGACATTGACGATTGCAATGAATGGATTGATGAGGCTGTCGAGCAAAATGAAATCAAAAACTGAAATGTAGTGGAAGAAGCTACTGGTGTTAATGAAGCAACTCACAACACAAGAGCAACAACACTTCAGCTACACGACAAAGAGGAGACGGACGAGATTGAAGATCGTTCTGAGAATGAAATGAATGAGGATGGTCTTTCATTGCTATCCAATTCAGACCAATATGATAAGGAGGAGTGTGATAAATGATGGAGATTATGGCATAATCATCAAACAAAAACAAGTTAACATATTTTAAAAGACATGAAACTTTTTTTAATATTATGTTCTTTTGGAACTGCTTTAAACTATTTTGACTTCACATGTTTTGGTTAGAAGTTGTTATTCAACTTTTTTTATCATGTTTTGGTGTTTGTGTGAAATTCATGAATTTTGAACGCTTTTATAGCTTGTGCAGTGCAAGAGCGGTTCCTCTTTTGAAAAATGATACTACGTAGAAGGTTAAAAGAATCCAAAGAATACTAATTAAGGTGCTCTGGGAGAAAGTTGGAGTGCCCAAAGATATTCCTTTTTCCCTATAGGCTTTGGCAGGGTTCTCCCCTTCCTAGTTGTATTTCCTTTCTAGACCTACTACAGGCGTGCTGTTGTTGCCATTAAAAAGAAAGACATGCAATGAGATATAGAATGGTGAAAATATTAACATGAAAAGTCTAATTACAATTTTTTTAAAGGTGAGAATATGCTAGATAGTGGAAATAATCACTTTGTTCTATTGTATAGTATAAGAACTACAAAAGATGTACAGTACGTACGCTCATAAAGTTGCAAACGAGATGTGAATCAAAAAGATCTAGGTAGGGATATAGGGCATCTGCAATTCTCTTGGGACTTGGCATGTTTTCATCCTCAGTGCTTGCTCTCTTATTTGAGGAGTCAGTGGACAAATCAGTCTGCAGTTTTATGCATTTACAAATCAAAACTCTAATATGCATTTATTATAAATTAAAACTCTAACCTAGCAAGTTAATCAGTATTGAAAACGAAAAATTCAAATATTGCCAACAAACTGGAGTTATTATATATATAAGCTCATAAACTCTGGAGACAACCAATCAATATTCCTAGAACGACATTCAAATCGTGAAAAGATTAAAAAAATTGGTGGAACTGGTAACATTACATACCCCAATTTTCGACACAACATCAACCTGAGTCATCATTGTGAGGAGAAGTATGATGGGATATACTCGTAAGATAGAATATCAAATGGTGGTTCCAATGTGAGGTTTGGGATTGGTTTTTTGAGTTTGAAGACGAAGCTGACACCTATTTTCCTATTTTGCAATTTTTTGGGGGTAAGAACAAGTTCTACACGAATAAAGAATGAGATCAGTCCATGGATAGGGGTAAATGAGCCATGACATGCATAAATAGGAGCCTACTTTTTAATAAGAGTGAAAAAGACATGAATTGACCAATTTGTCCTTAAAATTAGAAGCTCCACCTAGTGCAGGTCATTTCCTCCGCAGATGTACGAAGCTCACCAATCACTGGTTCACCGCCATGGAGGACCTAGGGAGCTGGAGGACCTATGGGGGCCTGGAGGGGCAAGTGCCCCGTTTCTGACCCCGAAGTTTAGTATTAGTACCTAAGAGAAAATTGTGGCCCCCCTACCTGAACAAAAAAAGACTGTGTTCTACGTATTAGATATAGGGATAACTTCATTGAAGGGCATATAACAATTGTAGTGAGAATTATAAATAACTACAAAGTTGTGATGAAGCAAATCCTTATAGTTAAACATGTTGTTGATGGTTATTATACTTTGTTTGAAAAGTGGCATTCATGATTTACTAAGGACATGTTTACTTTGTTGTTTAATAAAAAATGCTTATTAAGACATGGGATAGTAAGCCATTGCTTATTAAGATATGATTATTAAGGTCCTAACATATAAAGACATTGTAATGAGTTTGGGCTTAATTAACCTAACATATGTTTACTTCATTGGGCTTAAAAGTTAGGTTATATACAAAATGTCAAGAATAGCCTTAGGACTAGCAGTACCCGGCTTCTTTGATCGTGCTATCTCGCTAGACTATCTCGCTAGACGAAAACGAAACGTTTCCCTTCTCTTTGGTGCAGTGTACAAACACACACAAAATATGCAGGGAAGTTGAACAAATCAAAGAACAAAAAAGTGAATTGCAGGGATAATTTAGAACGCCGGGTCCAAATTCAATAACACGTATAACCCTACCTCCACGGCTCCACACTTCCCCGGAAATAGTAATACGATTTCGAAATAGTATACGAATAGCAGGTTATCACAGGTTAGGTTTAAACTTTTATCCAGCTATTTCGAAAATCTATCTCACACAATATACCTATTAAAGGTCAATTTTACCTGAGGTGTCGATTGCAACATGGATGAGTTCCGCCGGTGTCGATTTGGAAGAGAGAGAAGTTTGGCAGAACGAGATGTCGCGAGAACGAGCAGGTTGGAGCAGTTTGCAAATGCTAAAAAAACTTCTTAGCTTATTTTTGGCACTTTTTAGCAGGTTGGAGCACTTTTTCGTTATTTTCTTCTTTTTTATTCCATGCACGTATGAGGGAGGGGCTGGGGAGTAACATTCAAACTCATTCCATTGAATTTCGAACTCGAGACCTCGCCTAAGATAGAGTGAATCGGTGAACAGCTGGGTTGGACCGCTTCCTCAACTTAAGAAAGAAAGTACTTATTTTATGCTTGAGGCCGGAGAGTGCTCGGTCCGTCGGCTTCCCTTTTTTTATTGAGTTGTATGGTCGAAGGATTACTGTCCCTTCATCCACATGCGGTAGTTCTTCTGTTACGCTTTTCGCGTGTGCTAAGACGAGTGAGTTAGTACACCATCGATTTAGTGTGTCAGTGGCATCTTTTGTGGCCTTTCTTCGTCGGCATAGGGAGTCAACATACCCTTGGCGACGAGAGACCGGGCTAGCTACTGTCTTTCGACGGCCGCCGTTTGTGGTCCTTAGAGAAATTTTACTGACGGGTGGAGTTTTTGTAACCTCAGCCTTAATTCAGGCTTTTCGTCCTGCGGTTTCCGTGCGGACGACGCGGTATGTTTCTCCGTTTGAAGACGTCAGACCATACACACAGGTCCTTCGTCTCACATACCGTCGGGCCGTCGGGCATTCCTGGGTGTTTCACTGCCTGGGCCGATGCGGTATTTAGTCGTGTTTTGCTTTTCCCTTGTTTATTTTTTAGAAAATATAAGAGGGTCACGACGTTTTGATTGCATTGTCTTAGCGCAACGGCTTTTGGGTGCGTTGTTTTGGGCAACGACTTTGGTAATGCATCGGCCTATCCTGGATGTTTCACCGTCTAGGCCGATGCGGTTATTAATGTTTTTTCCTTTGCTTAGATCTTGAGAGATTACGTAGAACATGGTGTTTTATTTGATAACTGGCTCTAGGTCGAAGGTGTTTATTCAATCAATAAGCCGAGGGGTGGGGGACGTTGCCCATTACACCGCTTCTCGAGTTATTGATAAAATTTCACCAGATGATGTATATTCCACAATCGTGGTACATCTGACCCATTAGGGTTCTTTAGTCTATATGTGTCAGCTTTGATGACAGCGCTGATGATGTAGGTCCCTTCGAATTTGGGGGCGAGCTTTCCAGATGGCGTTCTTGTTTCCCTTCGGCGGAAGACGTAGTCCCCCACTTGGAATTCACGGGAGCGGACCTTGGCATCGTAGTAAGATTTGACTTGTCGTTTGTAGTTCTCCGCCCTGAGGTAGACCATCTCCCGCCTTTCGTCGATGAGGTGCAAGTCGATCTTCATGGTTTCATCATTGGTCTCAGGGGCGTATTACGTGACCCGTCGGCTTGGGAGGGTTACCTCTGTAGGAGCCTTGGCTTCAAAGCCGTAACAGAGGGAGAATGGTTTCTCCCCGGTGGCCCTCCTTGGCGTGGTACGGTAAGACCATAGGACGTAGGGGAGTTCGTCGACCCAACTACTGACCTGTTCTTCAAGCTTCTTCTTTAATCCCTCCAAGATGGTGCTGTTGGCGTTCTCAACTTGCCCATTGCCCTGAGGGTACGCAACAGAGGAGAAACGATGCTTGATGCCCCATTCTTGGAGGAGGGTTTGGAACGGTTCGGCCACAAATTGGGTGCCATTGTCTGATATGATCTCCTGGGGCACGTCAAAGCGGGCGAGGATGTTCTTGTAGACGAACTTCTGACACCGCGCCCCGGTGATGCTAGCAAGTGGTTCGGCTTCGACCCATTTGGTGAATTAGTCGACGGCGACGATGATGAATCTATTGTTGCCGGCTCCCCTTGGAAGTGGGCCGACCAGGTCGATACCTCATCTAGAGAATGGGATGGTCGTGCTGATAGGGGCGTAGTTGACTGTCGGCCGACCAGGCGCCCTTTGGTGGTGCTGGCATGCTGTGCACCGACGGGCTACCTCCGCGCAATCTCGTGCCATCGTCGGCCAGAAATAGCCTTGGACGACAAGGCGGCGAGACATGCTGAAGGGTCCTTGGTGTGATGAGCAAACGCCGCAGTGTACTTTTTCCATGGCCACTTCGGCCTCCTTTGGGTGTAGGAATCGGAGGAGAGTGCCGTTGTATGATCTTTTGTAGAGCTTATCGTCCTCAATGACGTAGTTGGGGGCCCTGAGTTTGGCTAGTTTTGCCCTCTCCTTGTCTTCTAGTAATGTGCTAGAGGTGATGAAGGTGGTGATGTTTGTGATCCAACACTCCGGCTAATGTTGTATGCAAAGTATGGGGCTGACATGAATGTTGGACATGCTCAGCTCCTCCACCTTGGCTATCTTGGAGATGTGCTCAGGGGTGTCAGAGCTGAGTTTAGAGAGTATGCCGGCCTCGGCGTTCTCGGCCCTTGGGATCTGGATGATCTCGTGGGTCTCGAATGCCTTAAGCAATTCCACAGCCGCCTCTTTATACTGTCCCTTCCTTCCTTCCTTTGCCTCGTATGAGCCCTCAATTTGACTTATTACGAGCTTTGAGTCGCATTTGATTTGAATGTGGCGTGCTTTGAGGCCGGTGGCTAGCCTGAGGCCGCTGAGTAGTGCTTCATACTCGGCTTCATTATTGGACACCCTGAAGTTGAAATGGATGTCGCAGTATGCTCTGAAACCTTCAGGGGAGATCAAGACGACGACGCCCCCACACGCTTTCGTGCTTGAGGACCCATCTGTGAAGAGGGTCCAGGCTTCGTCTGGTTCGGGGCTGAAGGTGGCGACGACCGTCTTTCTAACTGTGCACTCTGTGACAAAGTCGGCCAAGGCTTGCCCTTTGATGGATGGCCTCGGCTTGATTTCAATTTGGTACTGGCTCAGAAAGATTGCCCATTTGATCATCCTTAAAGAGCTGGTTGGGCTCCTCATGAGGGCACCCAACGGCTGATGTGTGAGGATGTGGACAGGATGGGCCTGGAAGTAGTGCCCCAACTTCTTCACTGTATGGACGATGGCCAGTACCGTCTTCTCTATGGGGGAGTACCTGAGCTTGGCCTCCCGTAGCATCTTGCTGACATAGAATATTACCTTTTGTACCCCGTCATCCTCCCTGATCAGTATGGAGCTGATGGCCGACGTGCTCACTCCTAAATATAGGAAGAGGGTCTCGCCGGGTTTGGGTTTGGACAAGACGGGTGGGGAGGCGAGATATTGCTTCAGCTCCTCGAAGGCCTGTTGGCACTCCATCGTCCACTTGAAGCTAGTGGCCTTCCTCATTATTTGAAAAAAAAGGAAGTGACTTCTCAGCGGGTTTTGAGAGGAAACGGTTTAGGGTCGCAAGGCGTCCCGTTAGCCGTTGCACCTCTTTGATGTTGCGGGGTGGCTCCATATTGATGATGGCCTGTATCTCCTCCGGGTTTACCTCGATGCCCCTTCGACTGACCAAGTATCCCAAGAACTTTCCTCCTTGGACGCCGAAGGTGCACTTCTTTGGGTTGAGCCTGAGGTTGTACTTCTTCATGATCTCAAAGATGCCTCGGAGGTCGTCGGCATGTGTTGTGGATTGTTTGCTCTTGACGATCATGTCGTCGACGTAAGCTTCCATCGTCCGGCCCAGGACAGCTCTAAAAACCTGGGCTACCATCCTTGTATAAGTGGCGCCGGAATTTTTTAGCCCGAAGGCCATGGCGAGGTAGCAAAAGATTCCCTCCTGGGTCATGAAGGTTGTCTTCTCTGCGTTATCTTCATGCATTGATATCTGGTGGTACCCTCTGAACGCATCGAGGAACGACATCAACTCGCACCCCGCTGTCTCGTCCACCAACTGATCAATGTTGGGGAGAGGGAACGGGTCCATTAGGCACACCTTGTTCAGGTCAGTGTAATCGACGAACATCCTGAACGTAGGCGGCTTCTGGACGAGGACGACGTTCGCCAACCACATGGGTTACTTCACCTCTTTGATGTCTTTGATAGAGAGTAGCATGGCCACTTCGGCCTTGACAAACTCCCGTCTTTCGGCCGATAGGTAGCGTTGCTTCTGCTTAATGGGGGTGGAGGCCGGGTCGACTGAGAGCCGATGAGTGATTACCTTTGGGCTGATGCCCAACGTGTCCTACGGCCCCCACGCGAAGACGATGGAGTATGACCTTAGGACGGAGAGGATGTCCTGTCGGATTTGTTAGAGGAGCTGTGTCCCTATCTTCAGTGTACGCTCCGGTCGAAAGACGTTCGGCGGAACTTCAACCACGTCTTCGACCGGTTCGACTTTGGGTATGTCTCCTTCGGCCAATGCAGTGGTGATGGTGTCGATCCGCTCCTCGGCCTCATTGATCTTTCTGGTTAGCTTGAGGTAGCAGGCTCTTGCGATCTTCTGGTTCTGACGTGCACTTTGTCGTGGTGTGCACTCAAAGTAATTAATCAATACAACAATTATACGTAGTATAATGAAATAAGGTTCGTATCCACAGGGAAAGGAATACTTTTCTTTTTATAGAACTAGTAACAAAGGGGGGATTTAAAGTTTGATTTGATTTAATTAATTTAATACGAAGATGAACGACTTATATGGTTTAATAAATGAGAAGAAGACTTGGCTTTGCTTTTATCCACTTAATGAAATGTTCGTCGATCCCGGTTATATCTTTAACTATCTTCCTCTCGAATACTCAATCGAGGAGTATATCCAATTCATCGAGGGTAGTTATTAATAACGAGTCGCGTTCATTAATAAAACTTACTACCGAATTAATATAGAACACACGCCATATATTTACTCGATAGTAGCAATAAATTCAAGATGAAAACGATTGAGATTGATAACCTCAACACAAGCGGTTTTTTGGTTTAATCAACATAATTAATTCCCCTTGGTTTATTAACCATGAAATGCATGCAATAATAATCCAAGTTTACTACCGTGAAAGGACCGAATTAATAACAAGCGTATTTTTTTTTTCGAAAAAAATAACAAGCGTATTAATCGACCAATTCTAGTAATAATTAATATATGAAACAAAACTAGTTGATCCTTTAAGTTATGTTCAAAATATTAATATGAAATATGAATAGGAATTAATTAATACTCAAGCAAGAATATTAAAGAAGATGAATCCTACTATAGTTAATATCAAGATGTTAACTAATTGTCATCTTAGTAACACTCCTCAATATTAACATAGAGGAAGAAATAACTATT